AACAACCTCTGGGCTGATCTAAGTCAGGGCATGGCTAATTCACAGATCAAACCCATAAAACAACCTCTGGGCTGATCTAAGTCAGGGCTTGGCTAACTCACAGATCAAACCCATAAAACAGTGTCTGGGCTGATCCAAGTCAGGGCACGGCTAACTCACAGATCAAACTCTGAAATAACCTCTAGCTGATCTAAGTCAGGGCTTGGCTAACTCAGGGTTGAGAACCATTTAAAGCAATCCATCCAGTGGTTGGAAATTCATTTGTTAATGGTAAGGAAAGAGCTGGAAACTTTGACTTCCAACAAATGATACATGTGTCTACCGGAAGAACTGAAAAAAAGCAGGAAAAGTGGATTACCTCAGTCGGAAGACCGATGTTTTCCTGACCTTTCCGATTGGACTGACACATACCATTTTGTTTTCCAACTGGAATTTCCAGTTTTTTCCGGATAAAATGGTAAGCACCCCAGATTTGAAGTCGGCATGTTAGGTTTTGTCAAGGAAGTTCCCTGGTTTTACAGAGGGGGGAACAACGGAGAACCCATGCAGAGAAAAACCCTTGAATCAAGGGAGAGACTTTAAGCAAACTTAATACTTGCATGTAATGTCAATTCCAGGATCAAACTTTTATCAACAGAGGTGAGAAGCAAGTGCATTTTAACTGCTGTGCCAATTACCAGATTGTACAGCCACCCTTCCAGATGGAAAGGTTTTTGACTGTAAACTTAAATGTTTTCCAATTGTTGCCTTTTACAGAGGAAGTGATGCTGGTCAAGATGGTCCTAATATTGATCATTTTGATTTTGGTGTGATTATTCCTAAGCTACCTTACCTAGAGGAGTTACACATTACATATGGGTGAGTTATCCACGGTGATGTTACTATAATGGTAATGTATATTGTGATTTCTAGTTCTTTTTTTGTTGGGGGGAAAAGGGGGGGTCCTATTCATAAGTGGACCTCTCCTTTTGAAATGTTATGCCCATTCTCATTATTAGACAAACCAGAAAACAAGCTTTAATTTGAGATATTTTCGTTTAAATTTTCATTGGTCTAAGCTATTATTTTTTTGATTGAGGGAAGCCAAAGACCCAGACAACTTTGGCTTACTTTGTCACATGATTATGAGGGAGATGAAAGTGAAAATCATTACGTATCCATTAATGGTCCTAAAAATGAGACACAGGGGTGTAGGCAACAAAATGGCAACTTTATAGAATAATTTGTACGGTAATTTWAAAAAAAATTGTTTAGTCAGTGTTTCGGTAGTCGCCTACACAGCTGCTGTTAGGGTCATCTCTTATGTTCTATCCCCTATRTATCCTAGTTATGATGAAAAGGTAAATTATGCACCTGACGTTTCGGATGCTAGTCCTTCGTCGGAGTTTTTTTTTTACTCCGACGAAGGACTAGCGTCCGAAACATCAGTAAGTTTTTTCATCTTTTCACGGTGTATAATTTACCTTTTCATCATTACTGAAACACCGACACAGCTCACACTAGTTTTTAGCTAGTTATACCTTCTTATATCCTAGTTAGGGATGTGTAGTAGACTAGTGTATTGGGGGCTCAAACAAAATGGTGGATTTTTTCGTTTGCCCCCCTCGGAAAATCCTGGCAATGCCCCTGAGTCAGTGGAATGATTATATAATGCATTGGTTTACATTCTTCCCCTCAGAGTGAGAGATTGTGGGATGAACTTTGAATGGAATTTATTTCAGTTCACTTCAAGAGATTGTCTTCTTCTTGCTAAGGTTAGTCCAAGATAGGATACTTGACAAACTATATCTGTTTTCTAATGATATTTTTTCAATATTTTCATCTTACTGCTTATTTTTCTCTTCATTCATATATTGCCACAGRCCGTCAAGGCATGTAACAGTCTCAAACTTTTTCATCTTCACCGTAGTCAAGTGGATGATGAAAAAGTACGAGTCCTGATCAGTCATCTACTGGACCACCCTTCTCTTCTTACTCTTGGTAGGTTTCTCTCACCCAAGGTTAATTTTTTCTCGTTTAAGAGTCTTTGAAATAATATTTCAAAGCCGACAATGAGGACTGGATCAGTTTTCAAGTCCAAACAATTAGTTGCAATTAGTCAGCTGCGCCTCGGACTGGAACTAATTGCGCGGACTTGAAATCCTGCCAGTCCAGTTTTGGAAGCTTTGAAATGACTTCTCATGCTTATTAATTATTCGACTTGGAGTAACTGGAACAAAATTAATTCAGTCCTAGGACTGAATTAATTTTGTTCCAGTTACTCCAGACTGAATGCATTCCTTTCACAGTACCTTACCAGGCTTCAAGTAACATCATGTGATAAAAATAAGCCAAAAATAGCCCATTGATTGGCTGGTTTGCTCATGCATTATTAATGAATATGAAAAAATTATTTAAAATTGTTATAGAGAATTAAGTGTGGGTTAGCACAGTAGTACAACTACCTCTCACAGGTCTGTGATATTTTGGGTTTGATTCCTATAAGTTGTAGTTTTTGCTCATATCTGGATTTTCAGAATTGACAAAAGAGCTAAAACACCAACTTATTGAATCAGTCAACCTGGACTTGGCATCATATGTCAGTAGAGTTTGTTGGGTCAATCTCTCTCTCTCTCTTGATCTGAGGGTTTTTCGATCTCCGGTTTTGATTCCATTGCAAAACCTACTAAGCTTATATTCCACTGATCTGTTGTGAGTTAGCCATGTCCTTACTTAGATCAGCCCAGAGGTTGTTTCAGGGTTCAATCTGTGAGTTAGCCATGTCCTGACTTTGATCACCCAGAGGTTGTTTCAGGGTTTGATCTGTGAGTTAGCCACTCCCTGACTCAGATCAGCCCAGAGGTTGTTTCAGGGTTCGATCTGTGAGTTAGCC